CACGCGCCACGCCGGAGAGGCACTCCTGCTCGAGCGCCGTGTCTTCGACGCAATTGAGCGCGACGACGACAGGAAGCTGGTGAGACATTGCCGCCGGAGATCTCCAATCGGCAGCCCCTCTTTTATTACCCTAAAATTTCTGCAAAATTACACGCACTAGCACGCAATCGGAGGTGTGTGTATACTGTACACTGAATCTGCGTGTGATTGTGTGTGTGTTTGTGTGAGTGAGTTTAGGTGATTTTGATTTTTTGATTTGAAAGTGTGCTTGAGAATGGAGATGTGTATTTGAGGTTAACTCCCATATTTTATGGAATATTCTTGCCTACATGCTCTCATCATGTAGAAATATAACATTATAATTGCATATTTTTTTAAAAAATATAACATGTGAATTTTAAATGTTATGATAACTCACATTATAATTGCATATTTTTTAAAAAAAAACAAAAAATATATAACATATGATCAATTCACATAACCATTAGACTCACATAGTGAAATTTTAATTATTTTTTGGCAAAAAAACTTATAAATACAAGATTCCAAAAGCCAATTGTTAAACAAAAACAAAATAAGACACACAATAGACCCTTCCAAATCAACAATCTTTCTTCTTGCTATACTCATTTATGACAATCAGAGTGAAACAAATAAAATTCTGAATATATATTGATACTAGTAGAGAGCCCGTGCGATGCACGGAGTGCACAATTTAAGGTCATATATTCAGCCTTATAATTATATAAATGAATAAAAAAGATGTAGGGATATATATAGTACGTGACCTGTGCGAAGCAGATGATATATTCATTTGAGGAGTATTCTAATTTAATATGCAATATTCAATAAAAGTTGTACAATACACAGGAAAATTATACAATAAAATAGTATTGAAAAAAGAAACAATCATATATTATTAAAGACCTCATTGTACACAACAATATGAGTTTGATTATCGGGTAACTCCTCATTCTCACAAACTAATATCTTCAACCCCTTCTATTAGTCACACGCGAAACAACAACATATAATTGACCATGACTAAAGACAAGCTTCTTTAAAAAAAGATCAACGTGGGATAAAGACTGTCTCTGACTCTTATTTATGGTCATGACATACGAAACCATAAGTGGGAACTGTCGCCGCTGAAACTTAATTGGAACCTTAAGATCAGAAGGAGTAATATTCATTATAGAAATCAACATTGTGTCGCCAGCATGATCACCATTCAATATCTTGCATTACAGACAAAAAAACAATAAGCTTGGATCATCTATATTTCACATCTTTTAATAAGTGACGTTTATTTAAGCCAAAATATTAACATGTTAATTAATATATAATTCTGCTAACACGTCATACTAATATTTATTTGATTTTAGAATACATAGTTATTCATTGATATAAGAAAAAATACAAATTTTATTAATTATTGTTCACCATATAATACTCAATTATCATTTTATTATAAAATTTACAGTCATATAATGTAATTATTATTATTTATAAAAGTCATAGAAGTAGTCTTCTTTATGTAATGAAATTCAAAATAAAATTTTGAGTATAAATATTTACAAAATACAAACACATGTTTTTTAGAATTCAATTTTCTCATAATAATTCTTTTTTTCATCCTAAGGCTTTATAGTTTATTTAACATACTATGCAATAGACAAATATTTTACAATAAGTTCATTTTTGAAACATAATAAAAAAAATGATAAAAATACTATCATAATTGGCAATAATATACAAATAAATAACATGTCGAAGTTTTAAAGAATAACTAATATAATTTTATTATCTAACCATCAATAAAATCATTTAATGATGTGATCATTATCTTTTAAATAATAAATAATATTAATTTTTTTAAAAAAATATTAGTGTTATATAATTAAATAAAGGTTAAAAAATATTACTCGACAAATATTAATTATAATGGATATCAGTAAAATCATTGCATAAATTATTTAAGAAAAAAAAATTTAAGATCATATTTGGATAGTAAATGTAAATATACAAGCATTTAATGTATATAGTAAAAACTTTCCAAATGAAGTATATATTAAATGTGTGTTGACTTTTCTTGCTACTATTTTTGGTAAATATGTTGACTTTTAATATATATATAGATATCATTAAGATCTTACATCTTGCTTAATGGGTTTTGATTGTGATGCTATAATTAACCAAGAAACAGTGATTTTCCTTTGTGCTTTTGCTCATTTGGTAGATTGAATAATTGCTTCCCTACTTAATAAAGATGATTGATGCTCTTGTGACTTTTTCATGTAATTATATAAAAGCATAGGAACTTGATTCTGGTAGCTTTAAATCCAAGATATGTCTCTCATTGACAAAATTGAGTCAAAACCTTTACCTTCAATTCTAAGGCTCCTAATTTGAAACAAGAAAAGCAAAATACATATAAATTATTATAACTGAATCTGCATCTTCTCCTTCTCTTCTGATAACTGTTTCTCTTGGAATTTTTGGACTTCTAAAGGATATTTTACAATATCCCAATTGAGAAACAAAAGACGGACTAACCATTGGGCGGTCGACTTACCATAATTTGTGAAAAAAATTACAGACTTAATACACTTATAATATCAAATATATAATTTTTTTTTATTATTTGTTATAGCTGACATTTCTAATAAAAATGTGTGCCTATTTAAAAAAAATATGAAACCCTAATTTAAAAAGAATATAAAAACCTATTGATTAGGCCGACCTAACAGAAGACGAACATATTCATAAACTTGTCCAAAGAGGGCGCCTTTAGGTCTTTTAGAGGGGATAAAATCTCTTGTTACAAAATTGCATACCAGTTTATATTCCATTTCATTGGATGAACAACACGTGTTCATAATGAGTCCTGACTATACATGATTAACTTCAACGGATGTGATTGAATTAGAACACGATTTTGAACCATAAAGGTGTGCGCATTTGTGAAATAATGTACCGGTCTAATAATTAGGCAGACCATTAGACCTACCGATTCATAAACTTGTCCACCTCTCTTCCAAAAAAAAAATCCCCAAATCAACAAACCCTCCCTTCGATTTTCCGGCGCTTCCCCTACGGGGCCTTCCCATTAGTCGGGGGGTTGCGCCCCTGCACCTCTCAAACCCGTTGTCTAGAGAATAACCGAATGGAGGTGGGCTTCTTCGCCGGGGAGGAGATGCTGCTCGTCGTGGATCTAGGTCTCACCTTGGTCATGGCGCTTGGACGGAGTGGCGGGCGGCGAATCCCGGGATTGTCTGCGTTGGCGGTCCTCGGCTTTTCTTCAAATGTGGGCGGTGGCTTCAATTTCTCCGGTTTTGGGGTTTGGAGTGGAGGATCTCGACATTTCCACCGTGGTTCTCCTCGGCTCTGGTGCTGAGCGGAGGGGACGGCCAGCGTCCTGGACCGAGACTAGTTTTTGTTGTCGGGTTTTGGTTGTTGGTGTTTGGTCGGGTGGTTGTGGTTGGGATTGTCTCTGGGTGTAGGTGGGATGTTCATTAGGATTGGAGTTGGGCCTGTTGGAATGAGACTCAGTTAGGTGTTCTCTTGCAGTTTTGGAGTCATATTCTTGGGTCGTGACTTCGTCCATGTTGATAGATTTCCATTGGCGTCGCTTTCGTTCCGATTGGTATGGTTTCCCGTAGCGGGAAGGATTGGTCCGTAGTTGTAGTTTGTAGTTGTAGGTTTGTGTTCTTGTGTTTTCTCTTGAGTTTAAGTTGTGTCTTTATTGATGTGTTTTATCTTTTTCTCTCTCGTGAGTTTGGTGTATTTTCCTGTTGGAAGCTTTTGATTCTCCCGTTGGGAGTGTTGTTAGTTGTGTTATGTGTTGTAGTTGAATCTAAGCTGCTCGGCTTGTACGTGATAGTCCTCCCTATTAGGGTCAGCTATTCAGCTTATTAGGTCGTTGGCTGTTTTATTCGACTAAATAGTTGTTCTCTAGTTTTGTTTTATGTTGTGAATATATGTGATTCCTATTGTTTCGAAAAAAAAAAAAGATAAAAAGAGGACGCCTTTAGCTCTTATAGAGGGGATAAGATCTCTTGTTACAAAATTGTATTTCAATTCATAGTTTATATTCTATTTCATTGGACGAATAACACATGTCCATACTGAGACCCTACTACACATGATTACATTCAACGAATGTGCTTGAATTAGAACACGATTTCGAACCAGGAAATCTTTCCTACTATTTGAGGCATTTGCATTTCTGAAATATCAATGAGAACTTCTGTGATTTTCAGTTTTATCCCAAAATATAGAACAATCGTCCCGAAAGGAAAAGAAAAAGGAAAGAAAATTTCAAATACATCGATCAGACTTCTTTTTAAGTTGGAGTCCAAGACCTATATTTAAGGTCTCAATAGTGAACTTATATTAGTGTCTGGGCAGCAGTAGAATAGTTTACAACAGGAAATTATCAGGAAGACCTTTCAATTTTAGGAAATTGAAGATGCATTCTTCCTTGGGCAGGCATAAGAGTATATTTCCCTTTTTTTATCCTTTTTTTGTTTTCAAGCTTTATTTGTAATTGTAACGGGAAATGTACTCTTTTGCTCGGTTCTTATTCATTTGTGGTAGCATCTTCGACTGGCGCAGGAGTTCCATTTGCATAGAAATTAACCGGATTTAGTTACCCATATCTGAGAAGGACAAAACATTCAAACGATTTCGCAAGTATTATGAATCTATGATAAAATCTGCAAAGTTTTGGCTTAATCTACTAGTTATCCTTAAAAGCAAAAAAGATAAAGGTGACGAATAAGGAAATGAATAAAAAAAAAAGGAAGACGCCACAATTATCTTTCAAAACTAGAATACTCACCTCGAGTTTTCACTTTCTTAGCAAACATTTATTGAGGGCGTAAATGTGAAATAGAAGAAAACGTTAAGAAGGTATTCGTAATCTTCAACAATAGCAGGGGTTTCTTAAGAGTACATTTTGTAGTTAAAACCATAGGTTGTGATTGGATACAAGAGTTTTTTCGAAAAAAAATGTCTAGTTTGAAAATAGAGATTGAGAATTGGGGGAAACATATTTTTACAAATAAAAATCATGCATACCTTCTCCTGATGGAGCATAAGGAGATTTGCGGTATCGTGTTTGCTGTTGTGTTGGCTAGAGAACAAATTGGAAAAGGAAAAAAATTATAAGCAGATACAGAAGATTAAAAATGCATGGAGTGCCACTGTGTCAGTACAATTCCTTCAAAAACATGAAATAACATAAAATAATTTCATTAAAGAGCTATTACCTTCCACCACTTAGTTGAGATTACATTAAAACATAGACACTAGACACGTTACTATTTGTCACTTGAATCATAGATGTTAAATGAAACTGGAAAGTGATACCAAAGTCTTTGAAAGAAATGTGCTGAATTATCTTCTTGGAAGGACCATAATTGGCTATCCTAAAAATGTTCCATGAAGAAAAACTGGAAAGTAGAATGAATCGGTCTACTCATTGGGGCAAAATCCTATAACACGAGCTCATTACAAGGACATTGACTGTCCAAAATATCATCTAAATCATATTACGAATGCATTTAGTATATTGAAGGGTGTTGATATTAGCCAAACATCTCGGGCTTCCTCTTCGCAACCAGATGACATTCTTCTAAAGCCAATAAAGAAATAGCATCTCAAAATCGAGAAATAATAGCAGCAGAGCAGAAACCAGTTATAACTTGGACAGAAAATAGTTCAACATATTCAATAAAATCCATTAGAATTCAGAATGAAACCTGCATTAGCTGCACCCAGTAACAAAAAGAAGCACTTTACCTGTAATTTTGGTCGGAGAGCCTCAAGTGGTCCTTTGGGCTTCTCTACACCTTGCTGTAGACTCAAAATAAATGAATAAATACATAAAATAAAATAATCTTAGAAACCACAGTTATGCCTACATACGAATCTTTCAAAGAAGCTGAATATGGTTAATAAACAAGAATATAAAGAGAAGGTACCTTTCCCAAAGCCCAATCAGCCGAGTCAAAATAGGCGCGCTCATGATCCTGTAATCAAATGGTATCATTTTGAAAATATCTTGAGTAATACCATAAGATTTTTAATACCTTGGAAATTAGTGGTGGTTTCTTGGGCAATATTCCTCCATATTTCTTTCTGACGGCTTCCTCCTGCGAACACACACATAATATATCTAATCTAATATTAAAATGTACATTTAAAATTTACAGAAAAACATTTGATCAGAACAGAACTTCCTGTTGTTTTGTCGGCAGAGACTTGTCAACATCCTCCATTACAACTTCTGCTTGTTCTTTGACTTCCTCAGTGCCAGACATACTTTAGCCACAATCACTATATAAAGGACACCTGATCCAGAAATGAATCAACCATTTCGTCATTTGTATCGTCAATTAAATTGCAGAAAACTCATTGGCTATTGAATAAATGAAGGGTCAATGAAGAATGTGCATTTAAATCGAATCTGTCGAGCAGAGTCAAACAAGAATCTTTTATAGAACCGTATGTTAATAATGAAGCACCTAAATGTAAATGTAAACCTTAATCTATGTTTTAAATACCGTTAAGAGTGTGCATCAAGTTTCAACTGCATCACCTGACTGCTGGTAATTTATTAATCATAGCATATGAACAACGTAATAATTCACATGCGAATAGCATATTTAACATCATAGTTTTATATAGCCAATGGAAATCCTAGGCGGTCGGCCCATGGAATGGCCGCAAGGTGTGGGGTGAGACCTTGGCAACATAGAATACAGAAGGCGTAAAAGAAACAATAATATTGAAGGTGCTATTACATGTTCAACTTCAAAGTGAAAAACCAACCTTAATAAGTCGTTCCGGCCGAGAAAAAAGTGCAGCAACCTTAAGAAACATAACAATAGAAATATAAAAACAAAATAAAAATAGAGCAAAAATCATAATAACATAGGAAACAATAAACATAATACGAAAAAAACTAAAATAAAGGGCAAAAAATAGAATATAGAGGCAGATTTTTTATTTTTTATTTTTTTTAAAAAAAGATATAAACCAGACTAAAAAATCATACGACATATCGCATAGCCGATAAGGAATGTAGAATACTTTGCAACAACAACAACAAAAAAAAAAGATATAAACCAGACTAAAAAATCATACGGCAAATCGCATAGTCGATAAGCACTTTGCAACCGAACATCGTCAAGTGTTTCTAATGAAATAACAGTAACAAAATAGAGTTAACTATATATATATA